TTCTGTATTCAAGTGTGAGAACAGAGAGTGATATCAGCACTGTCTGTGTAGACCCATCACAGACCATGAGAGCACCCTCAAGCCCCCAGTCTATGCTGCTGGAGCATGGCACCTTCCTCAGCTTAGTGTGTTGAGGCTGCCAGGACAGACAGACATTCAGGACAGACTGCTTCATGCAAGGCTTCAGTGCTGGCATGCGTTTTCTCCTTGTTGATCACAAAATCACTCAGTGCTTTGGAGAAGATTCCTCCTCTGGCTGATACTGATGGGCAGAAGTTTCCAAAAGGCAAAAGTGTTCTGCTTACAGGATTCAGCCCCAGCCACTCAGTGCACAAATTGCAAATGCTTCCTTCATTTCACCATTTTGCTTCCTGGGATTGCACGTTTCAGGGGACAAGCTGTTGCTGTCTTGTTTGAAAAGATCTCTGCCTGAATTATTATCTAGGTGAAATTGCAATTTGCTCTTCTGCTTTCAGCCTGCCCTGTTGGATACTATGGACAAAACTGCCTGCTGCCATGCAGCTGCAGCAGTGATGCTTTGTGTCACCACATCACTGGGGAGTGCATGTGTCCCCCTGGCTGGACTGGCCACAACTGCAAGGACCGTAAGTCAAACACAGACTTGCTATCCATCACATATGATATCTCACAGAGACTCCTCTGCTACTGTAAGAGCCAGCTCTGTTTGTTCTTAGCCTATTACATTTTTTTTAATATACTTTTGCTAATCTTATTGCTCCCGAAATGGTGTATTTGTGGGTTTACACAGCCTGGGTGGATATAATCCTTAATTATCTAGGTTCAAAGTGTTGAAACAGATGGCCAATGAAGCACCAAGTATTGATATAAGCTCTTGTTTCAACACTGTGGATCCCTTTGCCCACTGTCAGCACTTTGACTGACAGTTCTGTTTTTCATTTGCAGCACATATTAGCTTAAAGATTAGTTCCTCCATTTTTCATATTGTTTAGGGGAGATTTATCCAACAAGTGAGTGACATGTACAGTCTTGTGTCTCAAGGTTGCCCCCTAACTTGTGCATAGAAATGCTGGGAGAAGCTCTGTTCTCTGGAAGAGAAGCACATCCTTCCATTGACTTTAGCGTAGCTCTCTGCATTGGTGGCAGTGTAAGAGCCCACATGTGCCCTTTTTGGATGTCACTATTGGAATGCCAACCCATTCTGGTTGATTCTTTCCTTTTGTTCCTTTTACATCTTTTCTGCCTGATCTGTTAAAATTCCTCTTGCAAAAATCCAAGGGAGCACAAAGATTTCTCTAAACTTGAAATTCATAGCAATTAATTGCAGGCGTTGACAGCTGTAAGTTTTGGATCTGGCTTCTCAGGCCTGGTGCTGAAGAAAATTCTGGGAGAATCTGAAGCCTCCTCCAATTTGTGAATTTTAAGTTCAACCAGTTAGAAATACATGGAGCCATTTAGATAACTTCCCAGAAATCCTCAGGCTGTCTAAAGAATTATGTGACCATGGCGAAGAAAAGCTTTTATATCTGTTTGGAAAGAGCTATGACAGAAGTTGTTTTGCAGAAACCTCTCAGTAAGGCAGCTCTTCAGCTACTGCAGCCTGGGCATGAAACAGATATTCAGCTCCAAAACCATTTTTTTCTGGTCCTAATTGACATATTCATCCTTACTCTTACATGAAAGGAAGGAGATGCTGCGCTTTGGCTGTGGCACGCTGTCATAATCGTGTTATATGATTTTCAGAATGAAAGCAGCGCGATGCCTGAACAAAGACGCTGAGGTTTCTCTGTATCCACATTTCATCTCCCAGTATTTTGAAAAGAAATCTTAGTCATGCTTCCAGTTTTAGCTGTGCTTGTCTTAAAACAAGGGATGTTTTTCTTTTCCAGCAGCCACTGTCAACACACAGCTGGGAGAGAAAAACTGCTTCAGGGTGATTTGCAACCGTTTGAAAATCTGCTACGATTTTCTGTAGAAACTCTCCAGACTATGAAAACGATCCCATGAAGCTGAGCTTCCATTTCCCCCTTTCCCTGTAAATTCTCAAGTATGGAGATCCTTCTTGTTTATTTTGATTTTGTTTTCGTCGAGTTTCAGAAGAGTTCAGGCACTCGTATGGAGATAGAGAGATAAAACACACGTTTTCAGTAGAGGGGAAAAGAAGCACGTATTTTTCTCTTAGGGTTTTGCTTGCCCCTGCTTCCCTCCCATTCAATAAACAGTTTGTACTAAAACAAAAATATCCCTCTGCACAGAAATGAGGAATCCTTATGTCTTGCCAAAAGTCAAAGGCAAGTGTTCCAACACCAGGCACTCGAGCCTTTTGTACACACCTGAGAGAAGCTTGATTTCCAGAGGCAGCACACTTCTGAGGCTCCCATTTTCTTCTGTCATTTCAAGGCCAGAAAGCCAGCTATTAGATTATTTGAAGTCTGAATCCCTGCCTAACACACGACAGCCAATCTCATCCAGTCACACTTCTGTCCTTGACAAAGGCAGAAAGACACCCAGCTTTCAGGAGGGGGAAAAAGTGCCTTCTCATTCATAACTTCTGCAGGTGGCAGGTTGCTAACAAGTTACATGTTGTACAACCAGCTAATCTCACTTATGCCTATTTTTGCTGTGTCAGTTAACAGCTGATACTTTATCCCTACGAAAGTCTCTGCTTGTGCATATTCTGCATCCTTTCTGTTTTCTTATTTAGAAGTGAAATCATCCCTCAGCCGAGCTCGGAGCTCATTCTCAGCATAAACACTGCTTTGCATTGCAGCCTGCAATAGCGGCCACTGGGGACAGCGCTGCGAAAACTCCTGTGCCTGCAACAACAGCGATGGGAGCTGCGATCCTGTCACCGGGTCCTGCTTCTGTGAGCCAGGATTCACTGGGAAACACTGCGAGCAGAGTGAGTCTCGCTTTTGTCAGCAAAGGGAATTTGGAAAAGCAAGGAGCAGGAATTTGTCCTCCTCGCAGCCGCCTGCTGGGTTTCAGCAGGGTCTGATGCAGTCACTAATTTGGATTCCAGACAAGTTATGTTCAGGCTTAAATGGCTGTTTTCAATCTTAAGATTTAATGTGAGTAATAAGATTGATGTATGTTTGGAATGTAGTATAAGATTTTCCATATTGGTTATATTTATTCAGTTGTAGGTATGCATATCTTCATAAATGCTCTTTAAGACTAGGCATATAGAAATGTTTCATGTGGACATAACAGATGCAGGATCAAGAAGATTTAGGGTCCTCCATTAATTAGCAACAAAAATGTCCCATGGCCTTACCAGCGACCCAGGATCTCCACCAATCCATCTCTGGAAGGGGCCAATAGCAGATGCCCAGAGAGGATAAAAACAGTCACATCAAGGATTTCTGATGTGTTTTCCCAGGCTTCAGCAATTTGTCATTTGGAAGTTTCTTAGAAACAATATGCCTATATTTAATACAGTTTGGTATTTTCTTCCAACTAATGTGCCTATTCCCTTTTTTTAATTCCATGCAAACATTTGGTATCCACTCATCTTGTGGCAGTAAGTTGCACAGTTAAGCTATTTTGTTATTGTTGTTATTGTTGCTATTAAAAAAAAAAAAAATGAAGATTTTATCTATTAGTCTTACAGTAGCACAGAACCAGCTGCCAGAATCTCAGTAGTGCAGGCTGAATTATCTGCTGGTGTCACACAGCAGCAATGTCAAAACAATTAATTTGGAGTGGTGACCCAAAGGCAAAAACCCTCAAAAGCCTATCTTAGGGTTCTTGTTGCTGTTGGTCCAGAGGGAATGAAAGGACAGCTATGGGAAAGCCATAGCTGCCAACTCCACTTGTCCTTCTCTCTTGACCTCTCTAAAAATGCCAGCTCTGCAGATAGGAAGCAGCCAAAGAGCTGGTCTTCATCTTCTCTGACAGAGGCAATGCAAGCAGGGAAGCTGTTGCTTCTGACAAAGCTTTTGGCAACCCCTGATATTCCCTCTTTAGACTTGCTGTTTTCTTCAGTCTGTGTTTTGTTCCATTTTTATTATATATAATGATGCCTAGGCATCTCTATATTTCAGCTTGTCCAAAATATCTAACATCAATTAGGCAACTGGCCCTGTTCTTGATTGATTTTCCTATAACCCTGGAAGAAGTTATTTTCATTCTCAAGTGCTGCCTTTTCCTTCAGATAGAGCACACCATGCAAATCTTTTCAAACTCTGAACATGAAGTGCTATGGAGATGTAACCATTAATCTGTCCCACAGATGTAATGTGTTAGGCTGTGCCCCGAATTTGATGTGTTTTAAAGCAGAGCCCGAGAGTGAATTATGTAGCTTTCTGCAGGAGGCCACCACATTCCATATTTTCTCCAGCTTTCCAGGGAATGAGGATTTGCAGGAAAACATAGCTCACAATGAGGCAGTGGGGCTGGGAGCCTTCCCCTCCTGGCAATGGATGTCGCAGAGGACTTGGGCATGTTAGCAGTGCTAGGCCATCAAGCAGAAAGTGCAGAGTTGCAGACTTTGCTGCTCTCAAAATCAATGTATTTTTTCCTGTGCAGAGTTCAATCTTTTAACACCCTGACATTTTCCTAAACAGTGGACTTTTAAGAAAACAACCCCAAGGAGAACATTTAATGATATCAGATCTAGGGCGTTACCTCAACACCTCAAATCCCCTTTTGCAAGGGGTAAGAATCCCTTTGTCTCTAAAAATTCCTCTCTGCTCCACCATTGTATAATCAATGAAAATTATATAAAGGAATATCATATAATCAAATAATACTAAGATGCTATAATGATGAAATAAGCAAGAGAGTTAGGCACAGCGAGACAAAGAGAACAAATAGGATGCTCACCTGTGTTGTAGGCTCACTCAGGAAACTCCAGTGGAGTGGATCTTCCAAAGAGAGAGAGATCCTTCCCCACTGGTAGTCAGCTCTTAAATGGGTCTAGGAGAGGTGCAGCCAGGCTCCACCCCTTCCTGCAGCACAGGTGAATTGCTTTCAGCTGTGCTCCCAGGGCTCACCTCAGTTGATTAATCAGAGGTTCAGGCCGTGACTCAGCAGTTCCCATACAACCATTCACCCCTCATCTGGTTTGGATTCCCTGCTGCAGGATGTCCTGAAGGAAGCTTTGGTCCCAGCTGCATGCACAGCTGCCAGTGCCAGAACGGGGCTGTGTGTGACCATGTGAGCGGAGCCTGCACGTGCACTGCTGGGTGGACTGGGACCTTCTGTGAGAAAGGTGATGTACCTGCACTGCTCCCCATCCTTTTGTGCATTGAAAAGCATGCATCTGTGGGTGGATCTTCCCAAGGGAGCTCTTTAAGAACGAACAACCTTTCAGTTTAACAAATCTGACATAGGTCACCTCCTATGACAATTTGCTAGAGTTGGAAAGGACTGGATGGATTTCTTAGCTGTTGTTGTGAGCCAGTTTGTGGCATCGTCTAAGGAAGGCTGCTGCTGTGTTGTGTCCTTGTGCAGATCATAAAAATATACAGCTTTGGGTGCAGCAGGAATAGCACATAGTCAAACATTCCAAAAATTGTTTCTCCGTGATTGAAAATTTTATAGATGATGATCATTACATCAAAGCCACAATCATTTTATTCCGAAAACCTCATGAGCCAATTTATGAAGGTAGCATTAGAGGGAAATGGCAGCACTCACAGGACCCTACTGCCCTCTGATGGGAAGGAAGGTGCTGCACAGCCTCCCTGCTCACATAGCAACATGGGCTGTATTAAAGAGGGCTTGGTGTTTCCCTCTGACTCTTAACAGGAGCTATTCTATGAAATGAATATTCTTTCCAAAGCTCTGTTACCAAGCCACGTCTCATAATTCATGGTATCTACATTGTGACCCTTTTAAAAGTCACACTTTTTATTTTAACCCTGTTTTCATAAGTTCTTGTTTTATTTTGTTGGTTTTTTGCTCTAGAACACAGAAATTCCATGTAATGCATGAATACAGGGCTGTCATTTCCAAGAAAGACTGTGACTCCTTTGTTATGTTTTGTTATAGTTATGACATCAGGAGCTGACAAGCCAAATCACCTGATTTGGGTCCGTTTAGTAAGAAATTAAGTCATGCTACTTGAGAAATATTAGCTAGTTGTTAATACATCAAAAGCACTGGTTTCTGCTGGACTGTGAGCATACTGAAAAAGCAGTACTGTTGTCTGTGTTGTGTTCTGTTCATTCAGGAATCAAAAGGAGGACAAACTAGCTAAATACCCTTCTGCAAAGCAGCTGTGAGGAATAGGGGGAAACCTGAATGATACAACAATAAAAAACAGCCGAATTCCAGTTTCCAAATCAGTCAGATTGGACATAGCTTTTTAAATTGTTGGAAGACTGTAGAGGTGAAAGTAGAGTTTTTTGCCTGTTGCTCATGACCTTGCAGTTGCCATCAGCCCCCGTTTCCCACATTTTCTTTCAGGCAGGCTTAGTGTTTGCTCTGCACTGATCTGTTTTACTTTTTCACATAGAAAATTACAGCTAGAACAGTTAGGTTGCTTCGAAAAAAAATGAAGACAGAGGAAAACGTGTGGGTGGCTTGCCCTTGGTATACAGCTTTCCGGCACTTCTCCCAGGAGCTGTAGCACTTCTGTTTTTAGTGGCTTGGCTTCCTTTTGGCAGGGATGTGCTTTTTGCTGTGCTCTTGACAATCCACCCACCCACATGGGCCAAGCCTGTGTGAGGATGCAGAGATGCAGACTGGAGCTGCCAAGTTGCCTCACGCTTCCTGCAAACTGCTGGTGCTTCGTCCCAGGGCTGGAAAGGCTTTTCCATCCTCACATTGAATGTGACATTTTTGCAGCCTTCTAACTTTGAAGTCTTAGGAGATGGCAATGTTTCCAGTAGCTAAAGGAAGCCTATAAACAGGAGGTAAATCAACTCTTTGAAAGATAACAGCAGGACAAGGGGAAATGGTTTTAAGTTGAGGGAGGGAAGATTTAGGTTGGATGTCAGGGGGAAGTTCTTTACCAAGAGAGTGGTGAGGTGCTGGAACAGCTGCCCAGAGAGGCTGTGGATGCCCTGTCCATCACTGGAGGTGCTCAAGGCCACTGTTGGATGGGGCCCTGGGCAGCCTGGGCTGGTATTAAATGTGGAGGTTGGTGGCCCTGTCAGTGACTGGGAGATTGGAGTTTGATGATCCTTGAGGTCCTTTCCAACCCAAACCATCTTATGATTCTATGATAATGTTTTCAGATCTCTGAGACAAAGCTTAGAGTGAGGTGGGAAAAAAAAATAAAAAATAAAAAATTGTTGTTTTGCAATTTCAGCTTGCCCAGAAGGATTTTTTGGGCTTGACTGCCACCAGGTGTGCAACTGCAAGAACGCTGCAGGCTGTGACCATGTCCTGGGGACGTGCAGCTGCCTCCCAGGCTGGAGGGGTGAGACCTGTGAGCAGCGTAAGTACTGTGACTGCTGGGCTCTGCTGGGCGTGGGGCTGGGGGCTACAGGGTGGCACACACGTTAGATGGGTCATCTGCCTGTCCAATAGTAGCAAAAAAAAAAAAAAGGAAATAATTTTTAGCAGCAGTGCAAATAATCCACCTTTTTTCTTGTTTTTAGCTGATGTTGGGACTTTTTCAAGCATTCTAGGCATTATTTATTAGATAGCAGTGCTATTATCAGACTGTATGATGATGAATCTCAGCTTTAGATTTTGAGAATTATAAGGAGACGAAGTGTTGTGTCCGTGTTGCTGGTGTATCTCAGGTAGCTTTCAATTATAATGTGGCACATTACAAATGTACAGTGTGGAAAGAGAGCTGGGACTGTTACATTATATAGCAAGGAGAAAATAGTTGTAGAAGTAATTCCTAGAAAAGTTATTCTTTTTTTTTTAAATGTCAGTTTCTTGGGTTTTCATACATGCAGATTATCCCACAGTATTGGGATTAATAAGACTATTCTGTATGTCTGTGTGTATACTATATAAAATTGGCTCTTCTGAGAAATTAGTCACCGAATTTCATAGAAAATGATACTGTTTTCTTTAGCTACATGGCATTACAAGTATTTTCAGGTGTTAACTTCTCAATTAATTTCCTAGTCTCACGTCAGGATGATGCTGTGGTCTATACTTCCTTTTGAAAACACAACTGCTTTCTGAGCACTGTGCTGTAGAACTGCTGTCTGAAGCAGCAGTGTACACAGACCCAAATTTTGCTGATAGTGAATGCTTATTTCCAAGATTTCTTTAATCCATAGGCTGCAGATTTCTGCAACAGAAAATATATTTAACTTAGAAAACAGAGAAAAATGATACTTGCATCGAAGTCTGATTTTCCACTGCAATATATCCAGCCCTATTGGAGGGCTGCATTTGTTCCTGGCATCTTTCCCTCATTTGCCCTCCACCACCCAACTTGTCCTCCAAAAGGATTTCTCCCATAAGGTCCCTGGCTGATTTTGACCCATCAGTCTGTCCCTTTGGCCCTTCCCAGCTTTTTGAGCTTTCCAGAGACGGGAAGCTTTCTCCCCTCATATTTCATTAAATCCAATTAGGAAATACATCTCTTTGTCAGAGGCCTTGTGGCCCCTAGAAGCTATCCATCCACTTGTACTGCAGTTGTTAAAGTCCTGTGCCAGCTAATTTATTTCTCCTTTGTTTTAAGACTGCAAATCCTATGAGGTCTCCTCTGCCTATAAGTAAAAGAGCAAGGTCAGCCAGCGGTGTGGTATGGCATCCTGCTCTTTCCTTGGCTGGATGATGCATCTCCATTCTGACTTTAATGCTACCTGGTAGTACCTCACACTACAGCAGTTGTTACTAAAATAGATGGCAGTGCCCCTTTTCAGGTCATCTAGTCGTGTACCCATCCCTGTCCCTGCCTGGTGGTAATATTTCCTACTCTATCCTGGGGCTTGCCAGCTCTGGCAGCTGGGAGATTGGCATTTGTTTTCAAGTAATCAGATTTCAGGCAATGTACTGGAGGATACTGAGGAATAATTTTGACATCATGGGATTTGAATTGATCTTAAGGTGGCCATGCAGTGAGTTTTATACACTGTATCTAATTACAGGAGATATGGACAGTAATGCCTTTTCTAAAGCTGCCCAACACTTTCCATTACAAGACCATGTTTTGCGGTTGCTTATGAATGATTTATAATAATCTGCCAAGCAAGCTCTCCCTCCTCTTACAGATGTGATTGGCAATTGTGTTTTTTCATGAATGTCCACCTGAGATATTTTAGGAACCCAAGAAAGAGTTGTAGATACATTACCAATGTTTGAGAACAATTCGACTTTGCTTTGTTCAGTGCCATGATGTCACAAAGATATAGCAGTGATGACTTGACACTTGGCATCTTTTTGTGCCAGAGATTTAATCTTCCCTTCTGCATAAAACTCATCCAAATTTTGTGACCTCCAAAAAAGAGGAGAAAGAATAACAAAATGGTGTCACATTATGTATGGACACTCAGCAAAGGCATTCTGCCCTTCTTTTTGTACCAAAAATGCCTCTTTCTGAAGCAGCTGTGGGTCCCCAGGACCTTCACAAGAAACAGTTTCCCTTATAGTAAACAGATACCACATTGGTTTTACAGATAAAGGGTACAGAAAGATTGGTTCTTCCAAGAGTCTCTGCTCAGGGGCACTGATAACCAGAGCTGTGACATTTCACAGTATGTGAACACTTGACTTTGCAAATTTCCTGATATTTTAACATCATTTTGGGGAGCATAATCCACGGAAGCTGTATGAAATCCAATCTTCTGGGCACGCCATTGAGCCTTAGCACACATCTTTTTCCCCTCGCTCCCCTACGCTTTTGATAGATGTTGACTTCCAGACTGAATGTTTTGGCTTCCAGTTTCATGTGTTCCTCTCTCTGCATATAAAAGCAGATTTTAAAGACTTTGAATGAATAATTTCTCCTTTCACAGAGGAAAGGCACTGAGAGAAAAATGTTGAAGCAGGAAGAAATGTAATAATTTAAACCTTGCTGATGCTTTCCTTTGCACTCATCATAAAGAGAGGAGAAAAAGCCCCAGGGATGTTCATACACTCAGTTGAGGAACTGTGTGAAAATAACTGCAACATATCACTTATCTTATTCTTCAGAAAAGTGGTTTGATAACTAAGATTGTCCTACAGAGAAGCTAAAAGAAGTTTGTGTGCACCCAGCAGAATATTTAAAGTTTTCTCCCCCAGAAATTTCTTCTTTCTTACTACAGTTTTCACTAGAAAGCTCTTTTGTCTTCATGGTAAGTATAACAAGAGTTTAGCACACATGCTCCAAAAACCTCACTCAAACCACTAGTAACCAGTCAGGGGACATGGTTATGAGCTGGTTTTTCCTTTGGCTTGGTTGTGATATAGTTCTGGTCTGTATTGTGGAAATGTTTAGTTCTGCTCCCAAATCTGAGCCAAAGCTCTGTAAGATGGGCTGAACCCATCAACTTGAACTTGGCAATCAGGCTGTGTTTGCAGAAAATCTTTGACTGTGATGGGACTGCACTCCTGCACTTCCTTGTGGTTTTAATGTGGATGGGGTCCAGGTGATGTGAAAAAAATGAATTGTTGGGAAAGCCCTGGGAGAAATGGTGTCTGTGAGAACCGTGTCTGGAAGCTGGAAGTCTTCAAATGGGAATAGAAGGGCTGTGAATGGGTCAGATACTGTCAACCAAACGTGCTCTCACAGTCAAGATGATTTCACTCCTCCATCCTGTCCCCAGGGACGTTTCCTCCTGCAGCACTCCATCATGCTTTGCCAGCTGGCATCCTCAGAAACACAGAGGTTCTGGTGGAAAGAGATAGTTTGGGTGTGATCCTGGGAGACGTCCTATTCAGGGAGTGCAGGACACTTTTCTGGCTCGGGGATCTGAGCTGTTCTTGTCCCTACAGCACGTGCCAGCAGCGCTGCAGGGAGAAGAGGCTCTGACGGCTCCATGCATGTGAGTGGGAGCTGCTTGGTGCAGACACAGCCGTGCATTGAGGCTCTCCAAATTCACCAACTCTCTCTGCATACTGTGGGGGATGTTCCAAGAAACCAGAACAGCAGGATTGCCTGTTTTCCACCATATAAAGCTATCCAAACCTTCAGAGCAAAGGAGACCAGAGAAATTTTAACATTGCCATTCTTCATGGGCGGCAGCACTGCAGCGAGATGGTTTTATTAAGCTTTCACCTGGGAGCCAGCTGCTTAACTGAACGTGTTGGAAATATCACTCCTCTCTGACCAAAGAATGAGGCTCTGGGTGAGCTGGTGCATCCAACTGTGAAAAATGAACAATGAAAACAATGAAGTTGTCAGGTCTCTTACCAGGATGCAAATAAATACCCGGGCTGTCAGGCCAGTGGTGCTGCTGGACCATTAGTTCAGCACAAAGGCATTCTGCAGGGCAGGGGGATGACAGCTGATCCATCACCCCAGCAATCCTGCCCTTTTGTGGAAGTCTCCTCAGAATGTGCTATGATACATATTTTTAAGGCACATTATTTAGTGTCAGGGGTAGTTAATGCATGGACTTATGCACCATTAAGTTGTGAAAAGCATGTTGACAGAAGGCAATTTGCAACTGGCACTGGGTTTGTTGTGCGATGCTTCCTTGGATGCTCACTGATGGGGGACTCCTGTCATTGCAGAGTGCCAGGGGGACAGGTTTGGGCAGGGCTGTGCTCACACCTGCAACTGTCACAACGGAGCAACCTGTGATCATGTAATGGGGACATGTGCCTGCACCCCAGGCTGGAGAGGAGCCACCTGCCAAGAAGGTATGGCCAGGGAGAAAAGTCCACATGCCTCCATTTATGACACCAGGACACACACTTTCTATGCTCTACTGTATTGTCCCATGGGTTTGACAGATTCACATCATTACAGTGTCTTCTTCCAGACATAGACTAAATCCAGAACAAGTGAAAGGCACTGGGAGCTTCAGCCTTGAGCCCAACTCCAATGAGGCTTAAGGAAGAAGGCTGGCAAACTAAATTTCCTGGTTTAATCAATGATGAGGACATTGTCAAACATACCAATTTTCTTTAATGATGTGTTTGGAGATTTCTGTGTTTTTTCTTTTTCCTTTGGAAGGAAGGAGGTAGAAAAAGTGTGTGAGGATGGGAAAGCCATCCCCCAGTCACTGCTTTGACATAGGGAGAATTTGCTCCTGTGAACATCCTAAAAAATCTGTCCATCTGGCACATGCCAGACAAATAGGCTCTGCCCATCAGTTCCGGTTGTGATAGGCATTAATAAACCTGATTAACTGAAAATTAGGTGAACTGTAAACTGTTATCTGGCAACTGTAGATAGCAAGATCAATTGCCCAGTGGAAAAGTAATTGTGATATAAGAGCAATGTACAGAGAGATACTGGAAGCTGGGAAATCAGTAGCTTTACTCCTTGGTTTTGAGGAAGCTGGTGGAACCAAGGCTTGTTTTCCATAGGTGTGAACAGAAAGTCTTAAGAGTATTTGGGAGGTTGTAGTTAGCTCACTTCATCAGGTGTGTTTTCTCCTATTTTGTTCCTGGAGCAGTGTTACACCGATGTAATTACTTCCAAGCCGTGGTCCCCATTTGTACCTCCTGCAGCACCAACAAAGCCACTGGGGCAATGGAAGGTGAAAGTTTGTATCCAACCTATGTCCTCTTACCCTCCTAACCCATGACTTTGCTGCTCTCTCCTCTCGCCAGCCTGTCCTCCAGGCTGGCACGGTGCCGGCTGCCTGCAGCGCTGCATCTGCTCTGGCCAGACTGCGTGTGACCCTGTGACTGGCAAGTGCCAGTGTCCCAAGGGCCGGACAGGGACATCCTGTGAGCTTGGTAGGTGTTCTCAGTCCTTTGGTACTCCTGTGCCCCATGTCACTGTGCTGTCATTGTGCTGTCTCACTGCTGAGTGTTAGGATGTGAGGTACAGAGTGGACTGCAGGCAGAACTGCTGCTAAATAATGTTTAGATCACTCAGATTGCCCAGATTTAATATAGTTTGTGTGTTTGCATCTATGTAGATCCCTTAACAGCAATCTCATAAGCACTAGGTATCAGATGAGTGCAGTGTACGTTCAGTTTCTCCATTGGCACAGTGTGATTTTTGCAAGCCATGAACACTGTCCTGCTGCATCGTAAGCTGCTGAGGGACACAAGGGTCACCTGTAACACCATGTAACACCTCATAATGCCAACCTCACACCTCTTCGGGCCTCACTTTCTCCTTGATCACTCTGTAGGGACCCATGAGTGATACCTCCCCCACAGTGGACCTAGCTGTAAAAATAAATGATGTTTTCATATCTATAGAGATCATCTGTATATGTACTGTAGACATCATTATGAGTTTTCATCAATAACCAATGCTGAATGGTTTTATATTTTTAATATTTATTTCAATTACATTTTATGGGCATGCAGCCTTCTGAGCACCCATCACCGTGCACTGACCAAGCAACGCACTGTCCCTGCTGCAGCACCAACTCTTGCTCTCTGCCTGCTTCTCCCTACAGCATGTCCCCCAGGATATTTTGGAGAGAGGTGTGAGGAGCAATGTGACTGCATTCACAGTGTGTCCTGCCACCCCCAGACAGGGGCTTGTCGCTGTGCCAAGGGGTGGCGAGGCAGGCACTGTGACAAACGTGAGTGTCTGTGGGGCACGCATCCCATAATCATCTTGGGATCCTTGCACTCCGGGTTGATTTTGAGGGGCTGTCAGGGAGGAGCGAGGGGAGCTGCTTGGTGCCATCCTGCCCTGGTGCTAATGGGATTTGGTGTCCTCCTACAGCCTGCTTGCCTGGCCACTACGGTGTGGGTTGTGCCCGGCGGTGCCACTGCCCTGCAGGCACCCCCTGCCACCACCTGACCGGTGAGTGCGGCTGTCCTCCAGGATTCACTGGCCATGGCTGCGAGAGAAGTAAGTCACGAGGATGCAAATAACTAAAAACCATGGGGTAACAATTAGTTTCTTCAGTGGCTAAGGCAGAAGGAGCAACCTTTGCAGCGGTGAATCTGGACAAGGGTATGCATATGCATATATCATTCACCCAAATAGTTAGGGTGGTTCTGAACATTGTGCCTGCTATTGTTTGGGCAGGTGAGGTTTGTCCTCTTGAGGTTTGCAGCCAACGCAGACTGAACTGGATAAATGTGCTGAATATTACTTGCCATTCCAGTAAAAGCTGCCACTCCTGTGTTTGCTTGGATAACCTACTGATGCAGCAATGCTCCTGCTGCCCCTCCTATCCCTTAATGCCTTCTGGGCAAGGTGGCCTGGACAAAGCCTAGGGGAAGACAAAGGTCATGCCTACATTCAGAGCCACCAGTAAGAGCTAGACGTGAGAAGTCTGAAAAATGGAAATGATGTGCTTGTCACAGGCAAAGTGAAGCCCACAAAAATGTTTGTGCCAAAGCAGCTTTGCAAGTTTAAACTCTCTGCAAAAGGTAGAATGTCTTTATCCATATGTCTGGTCCCTGGTGAGTTATACTGTTATTTCAGTCAATTTTACCTGACATTTCCCTATGATTTTCTCTAGTGACAAGAGAATTGTATCTGGCCCTTGACAGTTGGGCACAAATTGACTGAACAAAACAAAATCAAGCGGTGAAGTAACCCCCAAGTAAATGCAATAAACCCAAAGTCCCAGCGGACGGTGTCGTTCTGCGGGCAGGGGTTTTATTCAATAAATTTCAGCTTGCTCTTTGTTTGAGTGCTATATTTACCAAGGCAAATTGAATTTATTGCTTTACGTTTCCTCTTTCCCAAGCTTGTCCACCAAACACGTATGGCCAGAGCTGCAGCCAAACCTGTCGCTGCCGTGCTGAGGAAGACTGTCACCCCATCACTGGGCAATGTGTGTGCCACCCGGGGTACCACGGGGCCCAGTGCGACCGCCGTGAGTATCACAGATGGGATGCTCATCTTCTGGGGGGCCCAGACAGGCAGGAGTGCTCAATTCATCTTGTCCTTCAGCACTGACTGAGGCGCAGTAAGCACAGTGCTAATTTACAGTAATAGTTGTGCCTGCCTTGTTGCAGGGGATTTACTTTTTCCTGGGGACAAGCGTGGTTTGCTACCTAAATTCTTTCTGATTTCACGCTGTGCTGAAGAATGTCAATGTAATTCTCTGCGTTCACGCTTCTCATCTTCAGCTACACCTGGATATTGATAGCTCTTTCATTTCAACACACCTTGGACAAAATGTTTCCCGAAATCTCTGAGTGCTGAAGTCAGGACAAATGGTTATGATAAAACAACAGGCTGCGATTGGCAGTAAATCTAAGTGATTCATAAAGGCAGTTAAGTTGTAAGGCCTTCTGAGGAACAATCAAATTAAACAAATTGTTAGTCTGGATTGAAAAACGGTGACTAGCAGAGAGGACGAAATGCCAATTGGCTGAATGCTCCATCATAAAAAATATTCCCATATCCACATGCCTCATGCTGGTATTTTAGGACATCTGTGAAGTTGTTTCTGGCGGAATGTGGCAACTGATAAGAAACATATCCCAAAATATCCAGAGAAAGAAGACAGTTAATTACCTTTTTATTTACAACTTTAATTTTGTTTTTATTCTGTGCTTGTAATAGTCTGTCCTGTCAAGCTCAGTCTTTCTCTCTCTGGAAAATGCTGATTTTCCTTTCCGAGGAATTTAGTATGGCTGTGTTTGGGTTGTTTGGTTTTCAGGCGACAATTTGGGCACAGAGGGCAGCTGCAATATGGGCAGCTCTGGTAAGAGTTAAACTTGTACTTTATTCTTTGAGCAGAAACGGCTGAGAGGCTCACTTTGGAGACAGACATTTGTATTACCATCCTGTCATCAAAAGTTATTCTTTAAAATATAAATGTAAATGTAAGGATTGATTCTATCCTCCTTTGTACATCAGTTCTCACTGTGAGAGAGATTGAAATTCAGCCTTCAAAATCTAGACTAAAGCCATCTGGATCCATTATACATTAGATTATAATAAATATTATAGGAGAGCAGTAGTGGAGATCAACTATTTAACAGCATCATTTTTAAAGACTTAATCATGGTTAGCCTATTACCTTTAACATAGTAATCTTTCAGTAGTGATTACTTGTGCATATGGTACTAATTCTCCATAGATTGTAATAAATGTCCTTATGTTTGCTTAGGTCCCTGAGATTTCGCTGGAGAATTTAAAATTTAAAACATTAATTATACTCCAGTTCTGTTACAGACGAAATTACTTACAAAATGGAATCTGTGTTTCATTGCGTTTGGAGGGTGTTTTGTCACGGACTTTGGTGTCATTAGGATCAATCTACATCATATGAGATACGATCCTTCAATGCATTTTGCTGTCCTATGTAAATGCACAGCAAGTTCTCAATCGTTATGAGTTTTGTTAAACTTTGACAGGAGAGACAATGGAATGGTAGAGATTCACTGAGGGAGAAAACTTGTCTGGCATCTATCATTTCTTTTTGTCATTCTCTCTTATGTTGTTCAGGCCAAGCCATAGAGAGACACAAAAATGGAAGGAAAACGGTTCATGCTTGAAGCTTTTTTAGCTTTATGTTAATGGAGTGAGAGGTTACGGACCTCACTCTGAAGCAACTTATCTGATAACTGTGGATAGCTCGCGTGACTTTGGTGGAAACACTCTTTGTTCCTGCCGTCCTCACTGCAGAGAGAGCTGGGGCTGCTCCAGGATGAAGAAGCTTTCGACATAATATTAAAAACAGCGTAAGGAGCTGCTCCTGAGACGTGAAATGGGCTTCAGGCCAGTCAACATGTGGTTGGATGCTGCTGGAATCAGTTTCTGGCAACTATTGGTGTATTTATAGCACTGTGAAAAAAGGTTCAAGAAAATATCTATAAAAGGTGTAGTTGGCTGGGAAGTCAAATTTCCAGGAGCCAAGAGCAATGAGGCTTTCATGTTCTCAAATTTTGGAGTGAAGAGCTGAAACAGTCTCCTGTTTCAGGCAGGATCCTGAGGAAGCAGACAAACTAGCAATAAGGTTCCCATCAGCTGTCTGTAACTCAGAGGATGGGCAGATCTACTGGAGTGGAGTTAGGAAAAAAACCCTGTAAGGGGTGTTGTCATGGGCAGAAAGGCCACGCTGCATCTCTGTGACATTTATTAAGATAGGTGAACCCTGAGCCAGAAAGGCATCACCAACTTCACCTTCAAGCTGTGGGTAACAGGATGCTTCCAAAATGTGTTTCTGACTGCGTTAATAATAGCGGTAAGGAAAGACTTAGTGTATGTGGTTGGTATGAAAAGATTTAGGAACTATTGGTCATGGCAAAACCACCCAAACCAGAAGGGAAAACTCAGGAAATGAGTTAGAAATCTGTCTGCTTCTCCTGCCATTCTCAGAATAACATGTCAAATGCACAGGAAACTGTTAAATTAGAAAATGTCTTTATTAGATAACTGGTGGTTAGAGGCTAACCCTCTCTATAAATGGCAGGACAGCGTGTCGATTGCCGTAGCTGTCTGCAACGTCCTCCCCCAAAGCAGTAGCAGATGAGATGGCCTTGTTAGCAATCACGTAGCCAACAGTTTTGCCCTGCTTGTGCTGCTCCCTCTTGAGCAAAACTAAGCGAAATGTTGCAAGGGTAAATAAATTGGTACGGGGGGAATTGCTGCATCCCCTTTTGTTAATGGAACAGCTCTTTCTAGTCTTGAGGAACAACCCTGAAAGCTTTGCCAGAGAGAAGTCGAGTGTGTGGGAGTGTGGGAAACTGAATTAAAAAAGAGAAAAGCCAAATGATGACTGAAAGGAAAGGGAGGATGAAGAGAGAAACTCACTCGGAGTCCAATTAAATCATTGAATCAGGGTGTGCCCTCAGCTTCATTTCCATGAAATAGATGTTGCAGGGCTCACACCTCGGTGCCAGGGTTTGCACATGAAATAGATTTTCTGCACCAACAGATGGAAGCACTGACAAAGTATTCTCTGAGATGAGAAGGGCTGAGGAGAGTATCTGCATGTTGGAAAAGTGTGTATCTGTTTAGCCCTGATGATCTGCTATCCTGATTTGAGCAGAAGCCAATTTTCAGCTTTATTTTAAAAGGCATCCCTTTAAAGCTTTACCGTAAGCTCTCCTTCTCTATGGAATGGTTTGAAAAACCCAGGGATTTCTCCAGGCTCTCAGACCGTGCTTTGATGCTTTCAGAAAACAGAAAAAAAATATATAAAGTTCCTCATACAGAGATTGCAAGAAATCTGTTGCCTGGAGACGTGCAAATATACATTCAGCCAGATTGCCAGAGTAGCCATAAGCTTTCCTTTGGTGGAGATTAAGAGAAGGAAGGAAGGAGCAAAGAAATGTCATTCAGAGGCAGGGAGATGAATGCAACTGTTGAACAATGATCCCATTGCTCTAAAAGCACAGGCTTTTCACTCCTCTGGTATAGTGGAAAACTGGGAGAAGTTCATTGCCACGTAACACTGGCTTCGTAGTCCATCCAGGGCTTGTGTTTGTTTGAGTTATTACAAAACAAAGCCTTATTTTTCTCAGAGAATTTTCTGGCTTTGCATTTAAAGCGCCTTACTCTTGTATCTATTTTCTGAGAAGGCATCACCCGCAATTCCGCATTCCTGTCACATGCACACCTTTGAAGCCTTCCATCCACAGTTCACCAGGTTTGCCAGAGCACTGCAAATTCCAGTTTGGTGGTAAAGAGTAGATTATAGAGGAATCCAACTCCTGCAGCTTGAACATTTTCACAAGATGAGACTTGCCCATTTTCTAGAACTGCTCAGCTAAAACGAGCTCAACGAGGCAGTGCTGCTTGTGGCTCCTTGTGGTAAAGCGAGCTGCTGTTGCCCAATGGAAGAGAGACCAGAGCCCCATCTCATGCCTCTGACATGGAAAGGAAAAGGAAGCAAGTTGATTTAGTGTAGAAATCTAGGAGGAAAATCACTGAAGAACTGGGCTTGCTTTTCTTGCTACCTTCAAGGATGAGAAATAGGAGGAGCTGCCAGTCAGGCTCTCTGTCTTTGCCTTGGAGTCTAAAAGAGGTCCTCTGCCCAAGGCAGCCATCTGCTTGTCAGTGCCTTCTGCTGGTCCTCTGAAAGCAAATAGAACTAGAAAATGAAAATCGAATTTTGGACGAAAGTAAGAAAGGTATTATGACACGAAATGTGAAGGGCCCAGTAGCAGCATAGCCTAATTGCCTTTTTGTTTTTCTTAAAGCAGGGTGTCCAAAAGGTACTTACGGTTCAAACTGCCAAAAATCCTGTAAATGCATGAATGGAGGCCATTGCGACCCAGTGTCGGGAACTTGTGATTGCGCGCCTGGTTTCATTGGAGCCGACTGTAGTAAAAGTAAGCCAACATTCATGTTCTGCTTCTTTCAAAAAAACAGCAGAGAGAATAATCTGCGTAAGAATTTGTCAGTATAAAAACAGACAGATTGCAGTTACCTCCTCCTTGAACTGTAAATCGGGATTCCAGCTTTGTAAAAATTCTCTTGCAAAATATTTTCCTTCTTTTCTGTGTGAGTAGAAGCAAGGACACTCATCCCAGGATTACAACCTACTTGCCCAAGTTTGTTTCGAGAGCCAACTCAGCATGAATTGCTCAAGTTCCTTCTTCCTGTCCAAAATTTCTAGGTTGAGAAATTGTCTCAATATTTTGTTTCATGCTACGGTGCCATTATTTTCAATAAATGGGAAAAAGATCAAGTTTTGTCATGGCAAAACTGGTAAAGGCTCCATGGCAACACTTCTCGTACTTCTCTATTTCAGGGCTAGATCATGTGGCTGAGTTTCTGTGGTATTTCCAAAGCTATGATCTCCTAATATGGATAAATACAGAGCCTTTGGGATTTCCACTTGCTGTACCTGTACCAACCATACAGGTTTCAGTGCTAATCAGAGCTTAACTGATGTTTTATCATCTCCAGTCCCTTTCTGAAGCTTCTGTCAGCTTATTCACAGAAAGACAATGCTTTAATGCTAAGTAGTTGGTAGCTTTGCTCTTCAGCATAGGAGAGCATCAGTATTAAAGAAGGAAATAAGTCTTTATCTTGAAGCATGAGCAGCTGATATGCACACTTGCCTTACTGGGGGAAAATTTACTAAATATTTCGTGTGAAAGCGTGGATTATATTTACAATCTAAAAAAAAAGATTTCAGAGGAAGAGGCAGTCATATCTTTGGAAGGGATTTGTTTTCATAGTCGTTTTGAAGTACATTAGATGGAACAAAGAGGAAGCCAACTCCATCTATAGGATCCTGCCTTCGTTGGAAATGAAAACTGGCATACCCAAGGTGTTTAACAGAAGCCTGTGTTTCCTTCAGCTTGCCCAGAAAATCGATACGGGAAGGACTGCGCCCTGTTTTGTGCATGTGGTAAAGGTCAGTGTGACCCACGGACTGGCAGCTGTACCTGTCCTCCTGGCCAAATGGGACCTGGCTGTCAGCAAGGTAACAAAGTGGGACCAGTGCTCAGCTCCTCAGCTGGGCTCATAGTTGCAGATTAAACTCAGTGCCAAGCATTGTTTATGGCTGTGTTTCCCACTGCGTTTGAAGCCAGTGTTTTCATGATAATGCTTGCAGCATTTTGCAGGATCTCAGCCTTGTCCTTCTGTTCCATTGCCCTGCCCTTTTCTTACTCATCTCTGCCCATATCTCACTGTCCTTCCACCAGCACCACTGCACTGCTTTCTGTGCAAAGATAAAGTCTCTGCTTTCAAATACCACAGCAGGGAGGGCACTGTGAATGAGTGTTACGTGGGATTCTCAGTGGGGAGGAGCATGTGCTTGTATTTACTCCCTGTCACTTTCATCTTTTTTGGGGGATGCTAAATTGATTATTTTTTTTCCAAACTTTGTTAATTCTCTGTAGTGTGTCCCCAGGGACGGTTCGGCCCCAGCTGCCGCCTGACATGCAGCTGTCAGAACGGTGCAATCTGTGACCACGTGGATGGCAGCTGCACTTGTGGACTCGGCTGGACAGGAAAATCGTGTGAGAAAGGTAATGTCCTGCTTTAGTAGTAGTGAACACATACATTCAAGCAGGGGGTTGCGGTGGCTGTGGGCCTTCAAGAAAAGAAAAAGGTTTTGCTTAATTAATCTCACTACCAGCTGCTTTCATCGTTGTATATTCTCTCATGGTGCCTTGCCCAAAGTTAGAGCTTTAGATCTCTTTTTAGAAACAGTTTCCTCATGAGTCTTGCTCTTTAATCCTTGTAAATTCCTTTGAATGGACTCTTATTTCTTCTCCTATCCAACTTTTTGTTCTTTTGTTCATGGGAACATTTTTTTGGTATCTTCTTTGAATTGCTCCCCTGAGGTCAGCAGAAGCCAGCATCTCTATCCCATCTTGCTACCTTCTCTCTCCATTTTCCTTCCCTTTGGTACTGGACTGCAGTTAAACTTCTCACATATTGACTTCCCTGATGTTTCAGCAACATCTGTCCAAAACAATTGAAATTATTGTGCTATCTTGTCCTCACTTCTCTGTGTCAGCCCTCCTTTACACAAGACAAAGCACACTGAACAGAATGAGCAGAGTCTTTTTGTCTGTCTTTTCTTTCTTTCCTTCCATCTCCTGAAAGACATGAGATTCAGAGCCCTGCTTTATGTATATAGAATAGCTGCCAACCAGAGTGATGATGTCAGTACCACTGTGGATGAGCTCTAAAATACCTCTTCCCTCCATCCCAAAATTAGTGCTGTTTACCAGTAACTGGCTAACATAGTGTTGCATGGATTGTGTTTGTGCATCTCTGCCTGCCACTTGAAATCTTTATAACCGTACATGGGCTGTGTTTGGGCTGCAAACTGTGATGGGGTTGTGCAGATGTGGAACAGTGTCTCATGTGTGCATCCTCTAGAAGTGCTTAAATAAAATGACATTGGTGTCCAACACTGGGGAGAGGTGTGCATGTTGCATAAGGGATGGAGTGCTGTATCTCTAGGAAGATCTTCATGGTTGTCTTTTGATGTACATACCGAGCTATTGGAAAACTGAATCTTTCTTTCCACAGTTTTTGAGTCTGTTTTGACTAGAAATCAAAGACATCTAATCAGGTATCTTTTTCTGGTGATTAGATACAATGTTCTCCAAAGACCTTATCTGCCATTTGCTGTTATGAATCTGATTATGTACGTGGCCATGCTCAGTTAAGTCGGTCTGCACTGCGTCCAGTTATCACCTCTGCAGAAATTATGCCCATATTAGTTATATTGACCAGTCACTTTTGCATGGCATGGCTTTCGACAATTTGAGATGCGCTTAGTTCAGTACAAGTAGATATCTAGTTATACATGGAAAATCTATGTGTGAAAAAGAGACCTTCCCTTTTTATGAGGAGTTCAAATACTGTGAATTCCAATGATAACATGGAGCAGGAAAAGCTGTATGTTTTCTTTCACACTTCGTATGTATCTAAAAGAAAGCATTGCTGTAGAAGTAGAGGGTGGAAAAAGAAGATATCATTTATTATGTGCCCTTACAACACTTGAGGGACTGGAAAGGCTCAATATAAACAATATAGTGAAAGAAAATTGAACTCTTCAAACATCTATGAAGTATAAATCTTCATCAAAGTATGTAAATACATAATAATGGTGCAGAAGTGCTATGTCTTCAGTGAGCATGACTATACAGAGAGAAAGAAATTCATGAGTGTTCACCTGAGTTCTGCAAGTTACTATTTGAGCGTCGTGCCTCAGCTGTAAAAGCCATCAGATTTCGGTGTGAGATGGGTGTTTTTTTATCCTTTTTCTTTGCCCACATGTGGCCAGCAGAATGTCTCCCTGGCAAGTATGGCCCCAGCTGCAGCTTGGACTGCTCATGCCAGCACAACGGCACCTGCGACAGGTTCACGGGCTGCTGCCACTGCCCAGCAGGGTTCTACGGGCGCTCCTGTGAGCATGGTGAGTACACACACCCCACACAGCCCCACCACCTGTCCTCCCACAGGGGCAAACGGGGGCTCAGAGATGTTCCTGTAGGGCAAATGGGATTGTTACTGGCAATGGTAAATATCAATTTTGCTGCCTGCCAAAGAAGGTAGCTGCAAATATAGAGGAGCTCAAGCGGATCCATGTTTTTCTTCCTCCTGTTTCCTCGCTTGATACTTTTCCTTTCTCAGGGTGCCCCCCCGGGTTTTATGGGCTGAGCTGCCTTCATGCATGTGCCTGTAAAAACGGAGCGAGCTGCGATGCCGTGATGGGGCAGTGTGTTTGTCCCTTGGGGTACCATGGTATCCACTGCGAGAAAGGTACTTACACCCACCTGGTTTAAAAAGCAAATAAACCACATCCTTATCTAAACGTTTGTTTGTTCAGAGCCACTTCTTCCATATTTTTCACTTTGTGAATTTCTTGAAACACTGAATTTGTGATCGCTTACCTGTTCTGTAGCTGGGTGTTCTCAATTCCTTATACATTAACCACTCTGGTTCTGATTAGCACAGTGAAAGTCCCGGTCTCCACGGTGTCTTGCAGCAATGAGTTCCACATGTTGTTTATTAAGAATAAGTTTCTTTTACTGATTTTAAGTTTGCTTCTAAAATTCCAAGTAAGATTATTAAATTGATGCATGTCAGACCAGTCGAGTGTTATGAAATGGTCTTCTAAAGAGCCCTAATTAAAAATGAAAATAAGTGCCAGTAACGTTTTGGGACAGATTTACAAATACTTTTGATAAGTTGGATTAGATGAAACCAACTTAAAGAGAGCGCACATAAATATTATGCCTATCCGCTGCATTCGATCCTTCATTAAACTTGGCATTAGCACTGAGTTCAGCTCAGAGTTTACGAACTTTCCTCCGAGCCATCCTTCAAGCCCTGCTCTGGCTGATGTATTTGTTGTGATGTTGGTGTGCAGGACTCCTAACAGGGGCATTTATGGGGCTCTTCCCTCCAGGCTGTGCCAGCGGGCGCTTCGGTGAGCGGTGCCAGCACCGGTGTGACTGCGGAGGAGCTCCTTGCAACCCAGCCACTGGGAAGTGCCTCTGCCCACCTGGAAAGACTGGGGACAAATGTGACATTGGTAAGGGAGTATTTCCTGTGTGCTGGAATACATGCAGTGAATGAAATCCATTGCTTGGTCTGAGCACAACAGCGAAAGGACGCGTGCCAATACAAAGTATTCAGGACACACTGTTTGCAGCAAAGTATTCTCCTGCAGGTTGCCAGATTTATCAATAGGCTGTACTTTGATTTAATCAGTATTTAAATGGATGCATCGATAGGAAAACCGTATATGGGTCAGCAGTAAAATGTCATTTGTCATGAGTGTCAGCACAGCACAGTAGGAAGGGCTCAGGGGTTCTGCAACAGGGCAAGAAGGGATTGGGTTCCATGGGGTTTTTGTCACGGGGGCATTTATGGGGCTCTTCAAAGAGCTCAACGAGTGTCTGATTCGAGGTGAGGGTGGTGGAGCTGCTGCAGTGTTCCTGGCTCTGAGAACCAGCAGTAGTCCGGGAACACTGACTCCAAATAGTGTCGCCTCATTCGCAGCACAGGAGCTGTGTGTTTGGTAAATGGTTGGCCCAGAGAAGCAGAATTGTTTTGCAACAGGGTTGTAAAAATAGGCGAGAGAATTCTCCTGTGAAGGAAACCAAGCGAACTGACAAAAGCATTGAGGGCTGAGAGGCAGTTAAGGGCAGGGATTCTTGAGCCAGATTCTGATCTCACTTGTGCTGGTGGAAATTTAGGGTAATCAGTTAACAGAACTGCACTTTTCTTTTAGCAAGTGTAAAAAGAAATGTGTGATCCCAACAAGCAATGTACAGGGTGGTGAGCATCCATGTGCTAATATTGAAAGATCATGCAAGGAACCACATTCCTCCCAGTCCCCAGTATCACAAAGGGGGAATATTCCTCATCCTTTTGTTCTGGGATAGGGCAAGAAACAGCTCTGAACACCCCGTTATTAATATAAGCAAGAAGTCAAGTAAACTCTAGGAGCCCAAGGGCTACTGCAACCCCAAAAACTAAAATGGAGATGGACTTGCCTGCCAACCTGCACCGTCCTCTTGCTAGGAACTGAGCAGCCCATCCTCTTGCACTGATGCCTCTGGGACTTCAGCCATCCAGCACTGAGCACTGTGCATCAGAGGCCTTTCCAGTGCAATTCTAGCAGCAGTGGAACACAAGGGGGAAGCTCAGCACCAACAATGTGAACCGAGGTTTTGCTTCTTGCAAACTCTAGGAGTCATTTTTATTTTTCTTAAATCAGCTAGGGTCGCCCCCGTCCATGAAAAGCTGTTATGGGGTAGGTTTTATTTGCATTTTTATTTTCAATTAGGCTCAGTTCATCTGTGATATAACTGTGAGCAGCTGTGTCTGTGCAGCAGCCATAAAGATAAAAGGCCTGATTTTAATTTGAACTCTGGTAAAGCACCCATTAAACAGGCAAAATGTTAATTAAAAAAAAAAAAAGAGAGAGAGAGAGAGAATATAACAGACTTTTATGGGCGTTCCTTTTCTGTAGTAAATTAACATTGCAGACTTTCAAACAGATGTCTTAAATACACATTGTTATTAACATGAAAATGTGGTATTACATAAATTAAAATCAGGTCCAGAGGTGTTTGTGGAGACCTTTTCTCATAACATTTCCTAATTGAAAAGGCCGAGCTCTGAGCACTTGGGGAGGGTTCTCCCACGTGCTGGGGCTGCAGCTGATGTGGGGCTGGGGTTTGGGTTAACCCTGCGGTGCTATGTGAGGAAGGCAGCCTGGGTTGCTTACAGCACTGTCGGTGAGGTGAGGGAAAGAAGGCTGCTGTGTGCAGGTCTCTCAGCACCTTGCCATAGGACATGCTGGGGACTTTTCCTTCTTACCTGTGCTCCGCCACATATAAAAAAAGTTACAGTGAGAATTCGTCCATAAAATATTTGCCCATCCTTTGCAGAGCTGGGAGTGAGACTTTTGTGAGTTTACATTGCCAGGAGGTAACTGAATTGTGCTATGTGGGAATGATGTACAAACATACCTAAAATGAATTAATTTCCATTTGGAAATTGCTTGAGTGAAAGCTCTTTTCTGCTCCACACTGATAGCCAGGCAGCCCCAAAACCTCTCTTTTTGGGCTGCCAGCCCCTGGGTATACGTTCCCATTTCAGGAACTTCTTCAGGACAGGTGGGTCACAGTTTGGGTGGGCTGTGCAGCAGATAAAGCTTGAGGATTGCAAGGTGTTCCAAAGTGTCATGGCCCAATATTAGCAGATGGAGGTGTCAAAGCAGATTCCCAATCCCAAATCTGTATCTCCTGAGAGAAATACAGCAAAAGCATGTCATAATTTAGGACAATTTCTTATACAGTATACTAATAACTTGCTCAGGCTTTAGTTTTATATGGATAAGCACATAACTTTAGGCAAAGTAAGAGTCTGGGTTAGAAGAATTAACCTCATGTGAAATTATATGAAGAGATTTTTTAAGAAACGATATTATTTTCAGTTCATCAGTTGAGCCTCACAAAACTTCCCCTAGTTTGCAGAGCTTGATGGAGGTCTGCGTTCTCACCGGAACCTGTGTGAGGTCTATGTTCTCTCCCAGTGAAAATCCAGGGACTTAAATAATTTTCTTTTTTCTAAATAAACATCCTTAATTTTCTCACTGTGCTTGCATTTCGCCCTGAATGCTGACCTTGGTCTGAATTTCTATTGCATTCACTTTCAAGGATGCTCCTCAGTGTAGCGCAGCCATCGAGCAGGGAGAAGCATTCATCCTCTTCCAAACACTTCTGTCCTTCCAGGCTGCCGGTCAGACCAGTATGGCCCCGACTGCTCTCTGCGATGCCAGTGTGCCAGCAAGTCCCAGTGCAACCCATACAATGGGAAATGTGTCTGTCCAGCCACGTGGATGGGGCCAACTTGCAAGGAAGGTAACACAGGCTGGAGATTGACTGTTTTACTCATAGACATTGTGCTCTGATCGTGATTTTGTGTTGAAGAGCATGGTGAAATGTGATAAGTGGCTGGATAAGAAGATGAAAAGTCAGAAGACAGATTGATCTGTGTAGATGACAAAATGTTCAACAAAAGGTTTCGTTTTTGTTCGTTTTTTGGTTTTTCATTTAGGTAATTGTTCATTTTAATGACGCATAATACCATACTTTTCTCCCATTTATAATTTAAACATGGTCAGCTTGCTGGTAATACCATGCAGTCCTTCCCTTAGTTTAGGAAATATTATGGAACCTTCCACCTGGGGGACTTTTTTAATGTCTTGCTTGTTCTGCCTGCCTGTGTGAGGTGGCCAACATAACTCAGTCCTCTACCTTCCTCTGAAGGTTATCATTTACTAAATTATATAAATGTAAATTGTATGATTTATATTGCATTTCAGTATTATGTTATATAGACCTAAGGCTGCATTTCTACTTAATTCTCTAGGTGGCCCTCCAAAGCTTCCTTTTTATGAAGAACGAACTCAAGAAGGAGGGAATATTTTTCCAAGAGCTCTACAACAGTAACATTTGGACTAATAAATGAACTCTTTTATATGCACAGACGGTATTTGAATTTGGATATGAAAACAGGTATTCAATTCAGCTTGAATTGTACTGAAGTATTCACACTTCTTATGGAAGACTACAGAGGCCATTTAGTAGCTGGTTCCTTTTAAAAAGTTGAATCTGTTTCATGTATTTATTCCTAGCCTGTTGCCTTTCCATTAGTCTACTTGGGACATTCTTTCTGATATGTAGTATAATTCGTTGCTTGAAGCTTGGACATGTGGGTTTTTTGTTTTCTTTTTGCTTTTTGTAAAACTAGCTCCAAAGAGGATCAGTAACATGCCAATTTAAAGTGAGCCACGCCATGCTAAATGAGCATTCAACAGATTATGAAGCCAATGCAGGTTCACTGCAAAATCACGTTGCTCAGAAGCCAGTGGGATTCACCAAATTAGTTCCCCTGTGAAAAATATTGTATGTTCTAGAAAAGCATCCATTCTTAAAATTACAGCTGATGAAGAATCTGCCACAATCTTTGATAAGTTGTTCATTCATTTGAGAATGCATACCACATTTCCATTATGAATTTGCTGACTGGAAGGTCTCCATCCATATCTTGTTTGCATCTGAGCCTCCTTTCTAAAGAGCACAATGTTAACTGTCAGGCTCCTCTGGTTTTCTGTGTTCTCCCATCTCATCAGTGGAATTTCTCAGCAGTTTGTGAAGTCAAACTGTACAGCAGTTCTTGTAAAACTTTCTTACAATGGAGGAAGCTTTATCTTGGATGGAGAAAGCAGATAGTGAGGATAGATATCTAACAATAATCTGTGTTCTCTTTATGCAAAGGATTATAATGTGCTCTTACCACACAATAATTTAATTATCGGCTTTAACAAGTCCTGATACCATTCAACAGCTGCTGTTGGTCACCTAGAACAACGGCGTTTTGGTGCTATTTTTGTCTGTTTAGACAGGCCGTTCTTTAATATAGGACCAAGTCATTATTAAGAAATCATATTCTTTATTTTAGTATTCTGAGTTAACAAGGTTAAAAGATTTCAGAGTAACTCTTTGTACCTCTCTTTAGGTTAAGAGTTACAAAACGTGCTCAGTAACCTCTTGAGTCTTACTAAATCAGGGGTGCCCTTGGTTTAAGGCACCAGGACCGTGGGCTCTGGTGACCAGGTAGCACAAGCTCTTCCAGGTTTTGTGTTCATGCTAGCATTACCATTCACACACCACAGCAAATCACAACTCTGCAAGGGATTTTTGTCATAGAAGAAAGAAAGTGGCAATAATTGAAGCTCACTTGTGATTTTTAATAATGTTTATGTTTGCAATTGGATAATGAGTATGCAAAGCAACAATTACCTCTTGGTTCTCCTCAAGCTCTAAACCAATATGTCTGGTTCGAAGCAAGTAATGCTTGCTCACCTGGAACTGCAGTTCAAGCTGTGATCTTTTGGAAGCAATAAAGGTTTACTAGGTGTTTTTTCAAGCCTCATGGAAGTCTTATTGTTGTTATTCAAAACTTCATGGGTATTAGAAGCCATTCTAAACTCAGTAGAGATATTTGTGACCGCAACCAACTGTGCTTTCAGCCAGAAAATGTCAGGAGCTGATTCTGATCTCTTGTCCTTTCTTTATGATAGCTCTGTAAATTGCAAAAAACTTTGCTTGATGTAAATGTGATAAATCTGTTGTTCCCAAACTAGTCTGAAGTGAGTTATTCTCGGCAGGATTTTTTCTGTAAGCCATGCTAGTTAAAATGTTCTTTTGGAGATGTGCTGGCCTAGGTGCGATCTCCAACTGTGAAACTGGGGCAATTTCACCAAATTGGAAGTGTTTAGGTAAATCTTGTGCAAGATTTTTGATCTCATCATAGTAACTGATGGAGAAAAAAAACACCCAGGTCAAGCAACAGACATCTTTTGATTTCAACTATAGCTTTACCACGGAGCCAAACTATAATAGTAGTGCAAGCACTGCCTTATATTCAAGATTTTTCATATTAAAGAATGAGATTGGATGAGATCTGGAGGTCCAAGTTTCTCTTCAGGCCGCCTCCAAAGTTAAATGAGGCTGCTCAGAGATTCATCCAGTTGTTTCCAATATATCCAGGGATGGAGAGCCCACAGCCTCTTTGGGACCATGCCTTAATGAAAATTTCATATCCATGATTTATTTCTCCTAGTTTCTAACCTGAATTTCCCACATTTCATCTTCCATCCACTGCTTCTTGTCCTTTCAAAGTGTACCTCTGAGAAGAGCTTGGCTTCATCTTGTCTGCAGCCCCCATGAGGTGGCTGAAGACAGCAGCAGACCTTCCCATGGTCTTCTCTTCTGAAGACTGAAGACACCCAGCTCCCTCAGCTTGCACCTTCCATGATGTGTGCCCCAGTTTCTTCTCTCCTTACTGACCTTCCATTGGCCTTGTTACAGTTTCTTGGACGTAGAAGTTTTCAGAAAGATGCTCAGTGTCTGCTGTGGTTACTCAGCAGCTAATGCATAAAACCCGAGAGCTTACATTTTACTGTTTGACGTCAGTTTATAAAAAATATTGCCTTGTCTTATCTACATATCTAAGTATTCTTATGTGTGATTGGAGCAGCTAATCAAAGGGGAAACTTTTCTCAAGGCATATTCTTTACACCTGTGTACCTTGTTTACATTTTCCACAGTAACTTGATATTAGAATTGTAAATATGTACTATAAAGGAAATAAAAGATTTTGTATGAAGTATTATTAAAGAATGTCACCATTTTAGGTACATGATGAAACACGTATTTTAAGTGGTTGACACTGAGTCTGTGCCAATGAATCAGAGGGCCAAGAAGATCTTCTTGGGAAATGCTTCAGCAGACTTTTTATTTAAATTGGAAAATGCCAATTCATACAAAACTATGCATATGCAGCAGTCGCTTTTATTAACTCCTTCTTCAAAATACTTTCTTAATTACTTAATGTTATTGCCCTGGGGAGAAGTTTACTTCAGTTCCATAGAACAGATTGTCCTGATTTGGGTCTCGATATGAGTTTTTGTTCCAAAACATAAAGTACAACTATATAAAACTACTAAACAAAATTATATATTTCAAAAATTTTAGCAGACTTTTGATAGAGTACTTTTCATTGTCTCTTCTTGATTTGCTATATGTGAAGGTTTTCACTTTTCACAGGGCAGGGTGTCAGTTTCTAGACGAAAAGCTAAAGCTATTCATAATTAGTTATTAATTAAGTCAGTTTACTTGCTTGTGTTATCAGTAGTATGTTTTGACACTGTTCCTTTCTTCATATTAACAAATTTACCTTGTTCTGTGCATGCTAAATTGTTTCTCTTAGACTGCGTGTACTTTTTTAATGGAAAATCCACTAAATTAATATCCTAGTAGATTCACGTTATGGAAGGTGAGCTTAATTGCTACTGAAACAATCTAACTCCCCTTTTTTTGTTCATCAGTGGAAGACTGTCAGGATGATAGCATCCTGAACATAGCACTGGCACTTGTTGAAAATGAAAGCAAAAAATTTCAGTGAAAATGCTTTTTGTGTTTGAATTTATGTCCATCTTCCACTTGGTTAATAACTTTCTTGGCTCTGCTTCCCAGAGGACCTAAGTTAATTATGCTTTCTTGAAATGAGCGCTCTGCGTATTCCACTGTAACACACTTGCACACACAGATAACTCCTTTCAGAAAGACATTTCAATTATTGTGAACATGCTGTTTCTGTGCCAGACGCCACTCTCTTACCTTGTTGTTCATTCCAGATAACTCCAGTTTGAGAAGGGTGGCAATGAGTTGAGTGTAACTCAGTGGATCCGGCAGAATTTTATTCAATGAGAATTCATGAAACCAGAACAACATGTTTTAAGTTAGACTTCAGTATTTATAACACTATCCTCATAGGAAAACAATCAGAATTTTAAAAATTCCCCGCTTCTCCTGCCAAAAATTATTATTCTACTTTTATCCTTTTTATGTTGAAGAGCCATAGCTATTAAAGTGTGCCCAGATTTCTTGCCAACCATATTATTTTGATTGGCTGCAGATTTCTGTTTGTGTAAGTAATAACCATCATAGTATCAGAAGTTGCCAACAGGACAAACATGGAAATTATACCTTTATGTCCTTTCCAGAAGAGCAAAAGACAGAGTTTGGAGCCATCGTGGCTTCATGCTGTTGATCTAACAGTGACAAAAAACGTCGCTGTTAGAGTTTTCGTTTTTATCAGAGCACAATTCTGAAGAGTTCTTAAAAAGAACTGGTGGAACCAGAAACCTCCATCATCCCATCCCTCTTCTTCTTTTTTTTTTTTTTTTTTTTTTGTAGTTAAGCTGGAAACCTTCTCAAACCCCGGTTCCTGAAGGACTTTTCCTGTGTGTTGACCTACGACTGACTGCTGCAGTGGTGCCCAGCAATTATTTTGCAGGGCCAAAGCTTTAGATTCTAACGCTATAAAGCAATTTTCAGTAGCAAGCAAGGATTCTCTGCTGTTAGAGTATGTATTGCTCATTCTATTGCTGTTAATAAGCACATGCATAAGGGTATTATGTCTATGGGTTCGTAGGCTTTTTTGAAGAATATGTGGGGTATATCCCAAATCTGTGCTGTACTTTCTTTTGTACCCATATCATAGTGAAAGGATGCTTTTTTTTATGTTAAGGTGTCATTAAATTTGCTCATTTTTTCCTTATTGACAGTCTTAGTGCAATAGAATTGCACTGTAGATGAAAATTTATTAAACTAATTTACATTCAGAGCAAGCGCTCGGAAAGCACATCTGCTTTTAGTAGTTTGTATGGAATAAGTAATGACCTTATGTATAAATGGGTTTATATAAAGATCCCCGACCAGAGCAACTTGTCCTGTGACCGAGCCTGATAAATAGAGGTTTCTGGCACTCAGACTCCAGAGTATAAGAAATATTCAAAACAGAGCGTAAATCTTGTTGGAAGAAGCTGGTTATGAAGTGTAACATTTCTGGAAGACTTGGGCATTAAGCACTTTGAAGGCATTTGAAACCGCACACCTGCAGGCTTCCATCAGACTTCTTGGACACTTCCCAGAGCCTAATACTCTCTGTACATATAGCCTTGTTCACCTTAAGGGTATTGTCTTCTCACATTGGCAGGAGCTAAAGAAACACATGGGCCTGTTTAATGCCAAATAATGCAGTAAGTGTGTGCTGGTTAATTGGAAGTAGCATGCTAAATTGAATTCAAAATGTGTAACAAAGGGGTGACAGTATATCAAGCTGCTGGAGAAGAAGTGGGCAGATGTGGAGAGTTAAACCCTGGGAGAACAGCTTTACAGACTTGGGCTTATATTTAAATTTCAGAGCAAACACTTCTTAAATTGAGTCTACAGTACTGCAGGATTTTGATGTGTGTGATTTACTTCATTTTTTATACAGTTTTCAGTAAGAAGTAGAATAATTAACGTCATTTGGTTTGTCATCTTTTTGACGTGCGTTGTAAAGATAGTCCAGTAATTCTTGTAACGTGTTCCATATTTTTTTTTTTTATTAGAAGCAACATTTAAACCATTTAGAGAAGCTGTTGAAGTTATTGCAGTAACCCTCAGTCCCAGTGGCTGCTGTTAAGAGCTGATCAAAAGTAGACATGGTGAGTTAATGCACCCAACCTGCGCAAAGCTAGCGTTGGTCTGCATCATATGCTTTTAAAAAAGATGTTGCTTGAAAAGTTCACGTATTCTCTTAGTAGATGTATGTCAGTGGGAATAAGAGTCATGTGACTGTGATGTTGGAAGCACTGGTCCCTGTCACAGTCCCTCCAGCATCTTAAGAAAATGTTAAGCCCATCTGTAGCCAGTATTGTTTATCTCTTATTTCAGTCCACCCTGAAAGTTCACAGAGTGATAGTGCAGTGTTCTGTATATACAGTAACAAGGAAAAATAACAATAAAAAGCCAAACTGTCCAAAACCCAGGAATGATTTTAAAATGACTTATAAGTTCCGTACGATAAGATACTGCTCTGTTGATTTCTTCAAGCATGGTAGTTAAAAAAAAAACACTGTTCAACTCTGTTGTTTTATATATGAATAAAGATGTCAGCAAGTAGTCATTTAACTGTCCATGCCATTTGGCAGTATCTAGCTTCCTTCTCAGTAACAGCCCAATAAATCTTTATCTTTTAGTAAGCTGATGACAGCAAAACATCTTGAGAAGCTGCATGTGGTGTAGATATTATAGTTAATTTTTAAAATGCTTCATGCCACCATCTACAGCGTGTTTTCTCCAGTCCAGATGTAACATCTTGGCTTAAGGCATGTTCTCATGTCTCCCTCTAGTGACTCCAAAGACCTGATGAGAATTTAATTAATTACTTTCAGGGCTGTGATTGCTTGATGTAAGAGATCCAAGCTAGTGCTGCTGCTGCCCAGAGGTCAAATTTTGATTAATTAATGACTGTAGTAAGCTACAACCTACCAGCATCGGTAGCAGAGCATGGTCCAACTGAGCAAAGGCTGCCCAAATGGAGCAGTGATGGTCCTGCCTGAGGCCACTCTGCTTGTCCTAAGCAGCAGAAGTCCATCTGTTCATACGGCCCCAGTGCTTCGCAGACCTCTTAGCAGCAGTAGTACAAAATTTGCAGGTTTCCAATTTGCGGAAGTTTTTGCATTGATGTTTTCTACATCTGCCTACGACTCCTTCAGAGTTCTTCCAGAAAAATGAAGGAAACCTGCTGTGAAACTTCAAGGTTTGTCTCATTCCTGTGCTGCTCAGAAGATGTGGGGGCACCAGGGTTAAGTGAGTGCACGTTTCCTGCTCTAGTGGAGCCCCATTTGGGGTTGAAATACTGCACTGTTCACACCAATTCTGTCCCGCTGTTCCAATTCTAATTAATAAGAAGCCGCCCTGTCATTTCTTTGTTATTTTGTCAGTCTTAGTGTGCTATAAATTTCTAACAAAGTGACTTAATGAAAATGC